AGGGGCTGAAGTGGGTGGTGTTGGAGGAAGTGTTCTGTATGTCCATACCCCCATTCCACATTCATGTGCCAGGGTGGTTTATAATAGAACACTGAGGAGTTGGCCCTACTGGGCAGAGGTGATGGCTTCATTGTGGCCAGAAACCCAGGTATCCTGAGCATCCCTGTGTCACTGAGCTTAGTTGTGTGTGACAGGCTTGTTGTACCATATTATGGTTCTGTCAGCAAGATGGGGGTGAATAGCCAGGCCTGGCATGTGGTTCTCAGCCTTTAAGAGGCAGAGTCCTGCTCACTGATAGGAGATGAGGTTGGAATCCCCATCCTCCAGTTCCTTCTGAGCTTTTCAGGACACAGCAGTGGGGAGGCCTCAAGCAAGGAACTGAAATGGGATTAGGACCTTGTACCTGGCCTGCTAGCTCTCTTCCTACTTTGTTGCAGTCCCCGGGAACAAGCCAGAACTATATGAGGTAAGTGGTAAGTGCCCACCTGGTCAGGGTTGGCCTACAGCAGATGTCCACATGATCTCACCATTCCCTAGAGCTACCCGATGACACTGGTTGACATGGTGCTGTTCTCCCCAACAGGAAGTGAAGTTATACAAGAATGCCCGGGAGCGAGAGAAGTGAGTCAAACATCCAGGCTGTCCAGTACACACACTCATGCCCACAGCTTCTCCAGAGCAGCCTTCCCCAAACCTACTGCCATACTGATGGTGGGATGGAAAGACAGTATCTAAAGACCTCCTGCCAGGGATGGGGTCGGAGGCAGACTGATAGTTTTGCCATATTTGTGCCCTTGGTCCCCATGCCTTTGGCCTCCTGGGCTCCAGAGACCTGGCTTTCTCTGTCTGGGGCTTTCCTTGCCTCATGGCTGTGGCCTGACAGACAGGTTGTCTCAGGTATGACAACATGGCAGAGCTGTTTGCAGTGGTGAAGACGATGCAGGCACTGGAAAAAGCATACATAAAGGACTGCGTCACCCCCAATGAGTGAGTGATACATGGCCCTCAAGTGGCCAGGATGGGCACCCATCCTCCAAAGCCTGGTTTTGCCCAACATGGGGTACGTAAGATGGGGCTACCCACCGTGGGGGTGCTCTTAAGTTCTAGGGAGTGACCTTAGCACCATCTTAACTTGAAAAGCCCTATAGGGGTGAAGTATCTATTGCAGAAGGACAGGGGACAGGTGCTCAAATGGGTGTGGTCTGGGCCCTGTCTCCAAGGACAGACTGGTTTGCCTTGCTGGTGGAAAAACCTCTGAAGGTGAGTGGGAGCCTCACTACCCAACCTGAGAGGTGGCATTGCCCAGGCCTTGTACCTATCGTGGATACAGAGGCTTCATTCAGTGAGGTGACGAGCCTGACAGGCTGGACCCCCAGGATCACAAACATAGTGGATGGCCAACACAGGAGGGAGTATCTAGGCCTCTGCTCAGATCTGACCACCAGTTCATTGAGCACCTTCTGTGTAGTGGTCATATTTTCGTCCTTTCTGTTCTAGTTTAGAGGTCTTGTACAAATCTGAGGTTTTGTTTTTTTGGTACTAGGGATCAAACTCAGGACCTTGCACTTGCGAGGCAGGCAGTACAACCCCTGAGCCCCTGAGCTAAATCCCCGGCCCCTCTTGTACAAATCTAATGAGAGCCCTTGATCCATAACAGCTTCCTATCTATAACCTGTCAGTCAGTCTTTCATTAGAACTGCCCTGTGTCTGAACTGGCAAAGCTGAGAGAGCAAGGTGGGGTGGCAGTGCTGGTCCCAGCTCTAGGCAGCTGCTGGCCCTCTCCTAGGTACACTGCGGCCTGCTCTCGTCTTCTGGTCCAGTACAAAGCCGCCTTTCGGCAGGTTCAAGGCTCAGAAATCAGCTCCATCGATGAATTCTGCCGCAAGTTCCGAGTGAGTGAGCCAGTCCCTTGACCCAGCAGCAAGAATGTGGTTGGGCACAAGTGTGGGGCCATTGTGGCAAGGTCCCAGAAGCACCAATACCTATGTCAACTCCCTGCAGCTGGACTGCCCACTGGCCATGGAGAGGATAAAAGAGGACCGACCCATCACCATCAAGGATGACAAGGGCAACCTCAACCGCTGCATTGCAGATGTCGTCTCGGTGCGCCTGGCCTCCCTGGAGGGCCCTGTGGGAGTTAGGAGAGAAGCATTCCTGCTGCAATTGCTTGAGGGGGAGTGGGGGCCTTTCACTGTGGATGAGGGTGGGCATTCAAAGAGCCCCTCCCAGTCCATCTGGCTGCCTACAGAGCCTGTGAAAGGGACATGCAGAGGGTCTATTCTGGTGCCTTCCTGTTCGCATTACAGCCCCCAACCCCCTTCACAACCAGAATCCCAAACTCCCACAGTCCCAGGAGGCTCCCCACAGGTGGGGAGGAGCCCAAGGCTTGGGGAACAAAGTGTGAGGAAGAGATAGGGACTTGGCCCTGAGACTGTGAGCAATGAGAAAGGTTTCTGCAACTTGAACGGGTCCAAGATGCCTCATGTCCACCCCCACAGCTCTTCATCACAGTCATGGACAAGCTGCGCCTGGAGATTCGCGCCATGGATGAGGTGCAGGACTGGGGTGGGAGTGGGGGTTAGGAGGAGGGGAGAGGCAAGAGGTCTCAGCCCTATCCCTGTGTTTGTAGATCCAGCCTGACCTGAGGGAGCTGATGGAGACCATGCACCGCATGAGCCATCTGCCCCCAGACTTTGAGGGCCGCCAGACAGTCAGCCAATGGTGAGTGCCTCTCAAGACTATAGAGCTGCTGCTGCTGCAGTGATATGGCCTGCTGCCCTCACTCAGACACTGCTGTGCTCCTAGGCTGCAGACCCTGAGCGGCATGTCCGCCTCTGATGAGCTGGATGACTCCCAGGTACGCCAGATGCTCTTCGACCTGGAATCAGCCTACAATGCCTTCAACCGCTTCCTGCACTCCTGAGCCTTCATTTGGCCCATGGGAGATGTGGAGGTAGCAGCCCAAGGGGATGGTTCCTGGTTTCTTGATGCAATGCCTGCACCTGCCCAGGACAGCTTCCTGAGTCTTGATGTCCACGGCAGCCTGCCCTGTGCTGCCAGGACTCACCCCCAATAAAGAGGCTATCTTCCTGCCTGCTGTGGTCTGTCCAACTTCTTGACCTGGCAGAGCTTATCTCCTGGGGCAGGCCCTAAACACAGCCCCTATAGCCACTGTCCCCCAAACCAGCATGGTGGCATGGTCCTGTTGCTCGTCCCACACACAGTCCATGTCATTCAGACCCAGCAGTGTCCTCGGTGGATATTACCTTGATTTCCACAGCCCGACTTGGGAAACAGACTTCCACTTGGGCCAGGTATGCTTAGACTCTGGCAACCAATGTGGCTACTTGCCACCACCCGTAATAGGCTGTCATACCTCACAGGCTGGAGGCCAAGAACTGTGTTGCCCCGTCAGTGGCTAGGCTTTTTTTTTTTCTTTTTTTTTTTGAGAGAGTTTTGATATGTAGCCCAGGCTGACCTGGAACTGCCAACAATCCTCTCAGTCTCCCAAGTGCTGATATTACAGACTTGCCCAGGGAGGCCTTCTACAGTAGCAAGCCAGAGGCACATTGTTTCACACTGTAGCAGCTATGACATACTTCTGCATAGAAGGCATGGTAAAATTTATTTATTTTGGTACCACAGATCAACTCAGGACCTTGAGCTTTCAAGATAGGCAGCGGAACCACTGAACTAAATCCCTGGCCCTGGCAGCATAGAATTTAATCTTAGCACTTGTTCTCAGTAGGTGGGACAACAAATGTGCTACATTCCATTTATTTATTCATTCATTTACCCAGGACCTTCACATTGAGCTACATCACCAGCCCTTTTTGACTCAGGGTCTCACTGTATTGCCTAAATTTTAAATTTGCAGCTCTTATGTCTCAACCTTCCACAGTGCTAGGATTAGCGAGATGTGGTACACACCTATAATCCAGGCACTCTGGAAGCTAAGGCAGAAGGCTCACCATGAGTTCAAGGCCAGCCCCAACTACATAGTGAGTTCAAGGCCATTTTGAACTACATAGCAAGACTATCTCAAGAAACAGTGCAGGGATTATGGGTGTGTGTGCCACTACATCTAACAAACCTGTGGGGTTTTTTGGATGGGGGTTGTTCAGATAGGGTCACACTATCTAGTTCAGGCTGGACTTGAGCTTTGTAGCCTATGTTGGACTCAAATTTGAGGGGGTTCTCTTGCCTCAGCCTCCCCAATGATGGGATTAAAGGTGTGCTCCACCATACCCAGCAAATCTGCTTGATAAAGCTATTTAGAGCCACTGAAATAAGGCATGCAGAGGAAGGAGGGGATACTGATGGCTGGGGAGCATTGTTTTTGTTTGTTTGAGGCAGTGTCTTGCTATGTAGTTCAGGCTGGCCTTGTACTCACTGCATAGCCCAGGCTGGCCTTGTACTCACTACACAGCCCAGGCTGGCCTCAAACTTCCAGAGATCCTCCTGCCTCAGCCTCCTGAGTGCTGAGATCACAGGCATGTGCCACCATGCCTAGTTTATTGTTTATTTTATTTTTTCTTTCTGGTACTGGGGATTGACCTCGGGACTTTGCACTTTCGAGGCAAGTGGTGGAACCACTGAGCTAAATCTCCAGCCCTACTGCTTTTATTTTTAACTCTTGGGATAAAATACAAAACTTGCTCCTGTAACCACTCTGAGCACACAGTCCCATTCTCTAAGCACTTTCCCTTTCCCCTCACCATCCAGCTCCAGAACTTTCCTCTTCCCAGGCTACACAGCCTTGTCCTTTTGTGACTACCTTATTTCACTTAGCATAATGTCTTCCATCTGGGTTGTACCATGGGTCAGGATTTCTTCCCTTTTAAGGTTGAATAATATTCCCTTGTACATATATACCACATTTTGTACATATGGGCTGCTCCATCTCTTGAATGTTGTAAATGATACCAGTATGAACATGTTTTTTGTTTTTGTTTTGTTTTGTTTTTGAGACAGGGTCTCGCTATGTAGTTGAGACTGACCTGAAACTCACTATGTAGCCCAGGCTGGTCTTGAAATCACCGTGATCCTCCTGCCTCAGCCTCGAGTATGAACATGGGTTTTATAATTAGGACAAATACAGTGAGCTTGCTGGTTGATGGGACAATCCAGGATCAGCCCAGATGTGTAGGAGACAGGGTACTCAGGACAGCTGTGCCCAGAGGAAAACCAGCCCCAGGCTGGTGGTGTGGATGGCAGATATGCCAGAAGCTGGGGACATTTGGGCTAGAAAAGAGGGTGCTGGGGGAGATGAGAACACGTGAATCAGGAACAGTACAGGCTGTGGGCCAGCACTGAAACCTGTTAGATGGCTGGTTGAGTACAGATCCTCAAAGATTCAAGCAATTCTGCCTTTCTGCACAGAGAGGAAGGCCTGGTTTGCCACACCCAGGCCAAAGCCACGTTTGAACAGTGGGTGGGTGGCCAGAAACTGGCTTGGCCCAGCCTCCAGTGATCTTAGGGCAGTCCAGGAGGAAGATCAATTATGGCCCATGGCAACTTCATGTGGAGGTGCCCTCTTCCTTTTCTCAGGTGGTATCTCCCTATCCCCTTCCCTAGTTGCCCTGTAAGGACAGGGTTGGACGCCATACTGCAGGTATCCCAGCCAGAAGGAGCAAAATGTGATGTAATATGTCCGAGGATACAAGTGTGCGCCCCTGCTGTGGAGCAGGCAGAACAACCTGACCCCAGGCTCAGCATACTTACTGAGTCTAATGACTGCCCCACCCTGCTGCACCCTGCCCTGCCCTGCCCTGCCCTGCCCAGCAGGATCCGCAGGACAGAGTCCTCAGGCATTAGGCTCTCAGATTCCCACTCGAGCCACACCTTACAGGGAGGGCTCAGGGTCAGAGGCTGGTGACACACAACCCCCCCACCCCCGCCAGAAGGCAAGTCTCCCTTGGGTCAAGCCCTTCCCCTATATTGCCACCTAGGTAGAGATAAGGCCCAGGGGTCAAAAGCTGGAGACAAACCAGCAGGGTGGATCAGGACTGGAAAGCACAGCCCTTCCCCAACCCTCATTGGGCCCAGAGCTCAGGATATTCCCCCTACTTCCTCCAGACCCAAGAGGCCCACCAGGTGGTAGCTGGGACAAAGGTCCCACCTTCTCTTCCTGTTTGTCTCCTGGGGCTTTGGTCACTTCCTGGATATTTTCCCTGGAGGGCTGGTGGTGGGGAGTATGACTCAGCAAGCACCTGCTGGATTCCTTCCTACTGCCGCCCAACCTGAGCCCAAGACCACAGCCTAGAACTTAGCAAGAGCCCTCATTCCAGGTCCAGCTCCAGCCACAACGCTCTGGGGATTTTATCTGCAGTCGGGGTCGGGGTGGGGGTCTGCTGGGATGGGATAGAGGGTAAGTATGGGGGGCATTGAGGTGTAAACATCTGGGATAGGGCCCAGGTGTGACCTGGTAGCATCTAAAGTGCTTCCCTACGCAAGAATCGCAGCTTGGGGACAGGTCTCAGGGTCACAGCAGGGGATTGCCAGGGGCCCGTGGAGGAAGACGGGGGGGGGGGGCTGGGGGGTGGCCCTGCATGCAGCTCTGGGCATGGAGGGCAAGGGAAGGAATACCCAAGCTGCCCACCCAAGGGAGGGGGCCCAGTCCTCACCCCCAGCAGGCAGTGGCCCAGCTCCTTGCTGTCAGGGAGGATCTGCCACTGGAATGGTTAACCAGGGTACCTCCAGCAGCCAATCACAGAGGCTTGCAGGAAATATCTGGGAGAGGTCTTGGAGCCGGGGCCAGGCAGGTTGAACCCAGCCCTAGTCTGGCCAGGGCAATCCACAGCTGATCTAGACAATCTTCACACAGCACCAAGTACTCTGGGGCTCCAGCATGGCGATCCTAATGCAGCTCACGCTGGGGCCACTGCTGGCCATGCTGATGGTGATGGTGACGATGGCCCAGCCCACCCATCTGCTGAGCTTGCTTACCTCAGGCCAAGGCGCTCTGGATCTGGAGGCACTGAGCAGCCTGTTAAATACACTGGCGGACCGTGTGCACTGCGCCAACGGGCCGTGTGGAAAGGTAATAGCCCCACCCGATGGGTCCCCCAGCCCCAGCCCCTTCCTGGGCGCTCCACCCCACAGCCGACTGCAAAGGGACCTGGACAAACTCCAGGAGGCGGGCCAAAGCCAGTATCTGAGCCTACCCACAAGCCAGAGCCTTCCCTCTCCCTTGGGGGTGCATTCAGGCATTCCCAACACACAGCTTCTCTTCTTCCCTGAGCTCACAAATTGACAGTGACTCCAGGAAGAAACCATACCAAGACAGAAGACTAACTGCTGGGGACCCTCTGTACGTGCCCCTAGTTGGGCAAGCTGAGCAAGCATAGGTCAAGAGAGGGGAAAGGTGTGAGGGAGGTGACAGGACTGTCTGGCTTGCCTCTCTCCTCTCTGGTGGGCTCAGCCTACCTCCTGACTACTTGCTTCTGACCACAGTGCCTGTCTGTGGAGAATGCCTTGGCCCTGGACAAGCCAGATAAGCCAGAGCTCACCCCAGCAAAGGTTCTGCAGTCAGGATTCATCGTGCGACTCAGCGCTGCCATGGCCCTCTACCTTAGTAATCCAGAGGGCACATGTGCAGACATCCAGGCCGGCCGCTGGGCCTCTCGTGCTGACCACTTCCTGGCCCTGCTTGAAAGTCCTGAGGCCATGACCCCTGGCCTGAACCAGCTGCTCCTGAGGATCAAGGCCCATGATCTCAGGCAGCCCACTGGAGAGAAGGTAAAGGCCCACCCAGGCCAGCTAGCCAGGGCAGTGGTGGAGGGCTTAAGGATCATGGAAGAGGCCCATGAAGGGTGGGCTTTGCTGCAGCAGAGGAGTAGCTGACCACACACAACCTTGGGGTCATCTGGGGACACACTTGGGAGGCTGGAGTGGGCCAAGGGGTCATAGATGGGTGTTTACTAATGAGTAGTCAGGGACTGTAAAACTAGGGGCAAGGGAGGGGAGGCTCCAGTCTGGTAGGTGCACAGCTTGGGGAGGTGGGGGTGGGCAGGAGGCTGGGGGCATGTGGCTGTGTACTAGGATCAATGGTGATGATGGAGCTGGAAGCCAGAAGTTCACACAGGGTAGGACTGAGGTCCAACTCCTCCCCAGACTTGTGTAGAAGTCCCTCAGCTGCTGCAGGAGGTGGTGGAAGCAGGGGCTCCCAGCAGTCCTGGCCCAGTCCTGGCTGCCCTCCTGGACCATGTCAAGAGTGGAGCCTGCTTCCATGCCCTGCCGAGTCCTCAGTACTTTGTGGACTTCGTGTTTCGGCAGCACAGCAGTGAAGTTCCCAATATGACCCTGGCTGGTGAGACTTCATAGCTTCTAGATCCTGGGGGGAGCGGGGAGGCTGGAGCCCACAGACTGTGCACTGATGCTGTCCTTCCTCCCAGAGCTGGAGGCTTTGATGCAGCGCTTGGGGGTGGGTGGAGAGGCCCATGGTGACCACCATGACCATGATGACCACAGCCAGCTGGGCAGAGAGGCCAATCACCAGGACCTTGTGCCCCTTGATGCCCTCAACAACAGCTCCAGCGTATGGGACACGGTGAGCCACCCATGCAGTGAGCCTCCATGCTGGAGGAAGATGGGGTCCCCTGAGTCTGCTTAGGTACCTGACCCCTGTCCTGCTCTCCCCCCAGGTATGCCTGAGTGCCAGGGATGTGATGGCTGTGTATGGGCTCTCTGAGCAGGCTGGGGTGACCCCTGAGGCCTGGGCTCAAATTAGCCCTGCCCTACTCCAGCAGCAGCTAAGTGGGGCCTGCAACCCCCAGCCCACATCCCCTACCCAAGACCAGCTCAGCCAGGCAGAGAGTGAGTGCCCCCTTCCACTATGTCTACCTGGTCATGTTCCAGAGTGTGGGCCATGTGGTGATAGGGCCCAGATAGGGGAGGACGGCAGCTACTGAGGGTGGAGAGGTAGAAAGAGGGGAGCCAATGGGGTATGGAGGTGCAACCCATAATCCCAGACACTCAGGAGGCTGAGGCAAGAGAATTACAAGTTTTAGTTCAGCCTGGGCAACTTGGTGAGTCCTGTCTCAAAATAAAAAAAGGCTGAGACAAAAAAAATAATTAAAAAAGCCAGGCATGGTGGCACACACCTATAATCCCAGCACTCAGGAGGCTGAGGCAAGAGGATCAGTATGAGTTTGAGACCAGCCTGGGCTACACAGTGAGTTCCAGAGCAGTCTGAACTACAAAGTGAGACCCTGACTCAAAAACCCAAAATAATAATAATAATTTAAAAAACACACACATAAGGAAAAAAGGAGGGGGCTGAGAATATAGTTGAGTGGTAGAAAGTTTGCCTAGCATGGTTGAGGTCCTCAGTTCAATTCCCAGTTACTGGAAAAGGGGGTGTGAGGAGAAAACAAGGGTAGGGGGAAGACAAGCAGATGCCTGACCCCTGCTGACTACAGCCCTAGACTGCTCCTGGTCACTCTCAGGTCCAACTTGGGTGTCTCCCTGGAAAGCAGGGGTCTCAGTGTGACCTCACACCACAGGGTACCTGTACAGCTCTCTGGCCACGCTGCTTATCTGCCTCTGTGCAGTGTTTGGACTCCTGCTACTGACCTGCACCAGCTGCAGCACAGTCACACACTATGTCATGCAGACCTTCCTGAGCTTGGCTGTAGGTGCACTCACTGGCGACGCCCTGCTGCACCTGACACCCAAGGTCTGTCTTCATCCTTCCCCGTCTGCCCTTGCCTCTCTGTGCCCCAGTCCAAGTCCCAAGCCCGAAGCCCAATCATTCCTGCTCCCCAGGTACTGGGACTGCACACACACGGCCATGGCACAGAGGACTTCATGCACCAAGAGGGTGTGGGCCCACAGGCCACCTGGCGCCTACTGGCCATGCTGGGAGGCCTCTACCTCTTCTTCCTGTTTGAGAACCTCTTCAACCTCCTGCTGCCCAGAGACCAGGTCAGGCTCATGGGGACCTGGTAGGGGTGGGCAGGGTGGGAGCTTGGTAGACCCTGACCACCACTCCCACAGGACCCAGAAAAGGCCGGGCCCTGCACTCACAGCAGCCACAGCCAAGGGGGCCACAGCCACGGAGTATCCCTGCAGCTGGCACCCAGAGAGCTCCGGCAGCCCAAGCAGCCCCATGAGGGATCCTGCGCGGACCTGGTAAGTGGGCTGCCCCCGCAGATCCCACAACCCTTGACCTCCACCCCACCTGGCTCACCCATGCTCCTTTCAGATAGCCGAAGAGAGCCCAGAGCTACTGCATCCGGAGCCCCGGAGGCTGAGCCCAGGTGAGCCTTGAGGGGGCCCCCAGGACGGCTGCGAACCTGTGGTTTGGGGGGTGGGGGTCCAAGCTCCGGGTACCCACTCCTACCGGCCCCTCAGAGCTGAGGCTGCTGCCATACCTGATCACGCTGGGCGATGCCGTGCACAACTTCGCGGATGGGCTGGCCGTGGGCGCGGCCTTCGCATCCTCCTGGAAGACTGGGCTGGCCACCTCCCTGGCTGTGTTCTGCCACGAGCTGCCACACGAGCTGGGTGAGTGAGGGACGGGAGCTGCGGGGTATGGGTCGGCCAGAGAGTTGTTCGGGGCTACCCGCCTGAAGGCGAGGCCTCACGCGACCACGCCCCCAGGGGACTTTGCTGCTTTGCTGCACGCGGGTTTGTCGGTGCGGCGCGCTCTGCTGCTGAACCTGGCTTCGGCGCTCACGGCCTTCGCCGGTCTCTACGTGGCGCTCGCGATCGGAGTCAGCGAGGAGAGTGAGGCCTGGATACTGGCGGTGGCTACCGGCCTCTTCCTCTACGTGGCGCTCTGTGACATGGTTCGTGCAGCGGCCGGGCGGGACCTGTCCCGGGCTGGGTGGCTGAGCAGGGGTGCGGAGCTGGCCGCCGACCTGCTGCCCACCACCTCCCCAGCTGCCCGCCATGCTGAACGTGCAGGACCAGCGGCCCTGGCTGCTCTTTCTGCTACACAACGTGGGCCTGCTAGGCGGCTGGACCATCCTGTTGCTCCTGTCGCTGTATGAAGACAACATCACCTTCTCATAGCTCTCTCCCAGTCTGCAACCCTTGACTGCCTCCTGGCCCTAGGCCATCTCAAATTTTCTGAACTGCCCAGGGGCGGAAGTTGCCCTGCTCAGCTTTCCTTTCAATAAAGATGCTCCCACCCCTGCAACCTGTGTGCTCTCCTCACCTTCCGAGGGCTAAGCATGCAGAGCACTGCTTCCTACAGACACACCTGGGCATAGCCTCACTTGGGGATCTCCAGGCGGCCAGCTGTGTTCTCTGTGACTGAGACTCACCTGGAGAGTGAGGTCAGGAATTGTCCAGGGATAGGGGCTGCAGGTGGGACCTTGTCCCCAGTCAAAACTGATGTCAAGCTGCACGTGGTGGCGTACCAGTACTAGAAGGCTGAGGCAAGAGCACCGCCTCAAGTTTGAGGCCGGTCTGGACTACACAGTAAGTTCCAGGGCAGCCTAGACTACATAGTGAGACTCTGTCTCTACAAAACCCAGACCAAACAAAACACGTCAGTGACAGTTTGCCTAGCATGCACAAGGACTTGAGTTCAGTCCCTAGAACCACAAAAACAAGAACAATCCTAAGCCAGAGATTTAGCTCAGTGGTTCTCCTTCCTGCTTTGCAAGCACACGCACACACAAAAAGAACAATCCTAAAAACATCACCAACCGTCTTACATAGACAAGACTTGCTTCTCTCTGTCAAGGAGACAAGCCCAGGGATCATCAGATAGAATGTGGTGACCCATGGCCATGGGACTGCTCCACTGTTCTTGGCTGGGGTGTCCATGCTGGTCCGCGAGCCTCCTTGTAGTAGTCACCTGCGGTTGCTATAACCAGTCTGCTGGAGGCTGGGTGCTTAAAACAATGGAAGTAGAAAGTCAAGGTGTCAGCGGGGCCACACTCCCTCTGAAAACTAGGATAGAATCTATTCTTTGAGCCTTCCCTGGCTTGTGGTGGGCCCAAGTGTTTCTTGGCTTGTCACAGTATAACTCCAGTCTCTGCTTCCATCTTCACATGACATTCTCCGGTATCTACCTACTTGCTGATAAGAAATCAGTTATATTAGATTACTGGCCCACTCCACTCCAGTATGACCTCATCTCTCTCCCCTAAGTTTTTTTTTTGAGTGTGTGTGTGTGTGTGTGTGTGTGTGTGTGTGTGAGAGAGAGAGAGAGAGAGAGAGAGAGAGAGAGAGAGAAGGGCTTGCTATGTAGCCCAGTCTGGGCTTGAACTACTGATCCTCCTGCCTCAGTCTCCAACTGCTGTGATTACAGCACCACTATGCCTGGTGAAAACTTTATCTTAACTATTTCTATTTATAATGATTCTATTTCTAAATAAAGTGACATCCTGAGGTGGTTAGGATTTCAATACATATTTTTGGTGGACACAATTCAATCCATGACATCTATCATTGTCCAAAATGGCTGCCAGACCTCTAGCTATTAAATGTACTCTCCGGGTAGAAGAAAGAAAATAGGAGGAAAGAGTTAAAGGGGTAAGGGGCCCAGAGGTTTCATATGCAATCTGTCATTCTCTCAGAACCACAGGCACAGGACCAAGATGGCCAGAAGCTATTTCAAATTATGTTCCAAAGGCCCACCTGTGTCTGTAGTAATCAGAGGAAAATGGGCAGGAAAGACTACATCTGAGATATTCCTGGCCAGACACATGTTGCCAAGACTGGTGGGACACAAGAAACCATATGCCCCAGCTACCTATAAATGACACTGATTTCCTTCCTTCCTTTGCTTTTTATTTTGAGACAGGCCCTTGCTAAGTTACTTAGGCTAGGCTTGAACTCAAAGTCCTCCTGCCTCAGCCTCCTGAGTAGATAGGATTACAGGAATGTGCCACTGGGCCCAGTTAAACACTAATTCTTCTTCTTCTATTTTTTTTTTTTTTGGTGATATTGACTAAACCCAGGGCTTTCTCACTGAGTTGCATCCTAAGCCCTTTTAAAAATTTTTTTAAAATTTTGAAACACATTCTTGGTAAGTCCCTAAATTACCCAGACTGGGCTTGAATTTGAGATCCCCCTGTTTTAGCCCCCCAGGATGCTAGGATTACACATATGCACCATTGCAGCCAGATGAGACAAAGTTCTTTTAAATCCCATAGCCAAAGCCAGGTGTGGCTGAGTCCACCTGTAATTCCAGCACTTGGGAGGGGCAGGAGGATTGCCCTGAGCTCAAGGCCAGCCTCAGGATACAAAGTGAATTCAAGTCTAGCCTGAACTACATAGTGAAACAATGACTCAAAAAAAAAAAATCCTATAGCCAATCAAGAGACAACTAGAATTTAGACTCCCTCCTAAAACTTGCCCACATTATTGCACAAGTAGAGGTAGCCAGGAGCACCCAGAGAAGATGCTGAAAACAATGGGCTTCCAGCGTTATTCTTGCCCCAGGAGATATCAAAAGCATGGCCTGGATAGCAGTGTCCACTGGTCATAGGTCTAGGCTGCTAGGGCTGAGGAGGCCTCAGCTGGGTTGTGGAGGGTAAGGTCTTCTGAACAGTGGCACTGAGAGCCTTGAATATGCCAAGGCTTGCATTCGTACTCCATTACCCTTCCTCCTAGCTCATGATGATGCTCAGATGCTCCTTTCCTTGGACCTTGGATCATAGCCCCTCGCACTGCCATCTTTCACCAGTGTTTCCCAGCCCTCACCTTTGCTGACAGCCTCACCTTGTCTTTCATGAAGTAGAGGCCCCTGCAGCTTTGCACCCTGCAGCCCTTCTTCTGCTCATCTCATACAGATGGCCAGGAGCTCAGGGCACCTTCTATCTGCTGCCCTCCCTTGGACTCTGCTCCTTCAGTCTCTGGCTCATTCCCTCGAGGGTCCTCTTCCTCAGCTTGTGCCAGGCTTCTCTAAGTGTTCTTTGCCAACTGTATTGTTTATTAAAAACAGACATCCTCACCTGTAGTACCAGTACTTCAAAGGCTGAAGCAAGAGGATGACTTGAATGCAGAAATTCAGGGCAAGTTTAGGCAACCCATCTCAAAAAAACCAAAGAAAGGGCCGGGGAGGTAGCTAAGTAGCGCTGTGCCGGCCTGGCAAGCACAAGGTCCTGAGTTCGATCCCCGGTACCAAAAAACCCAACCAACCAAACAAACAAACACAACAACAACAAACCAGAGGCCCTATTATGGAGTCAGGACAGTGACCATGTGTTTGGGAGTCTGGTAAGTCTTAGGACTCTTTATTTATTTATTTATTTATTTATTAGTTTGGCTCTGGGTTTACCCATCATCAGCCTGGGCATCCAAATTACACTTCGTTCATTGCTCAGGGAAGAAGCGGACGGGTTTGGGTGTGAGATAAACACTTTTCCATGTCCTTTTCTGGTGTGTGACTATACTAACTTCCTTTATTTCGTAGGACTCCGAGTCCCTGGACGCAGGAACCTTGCCGCCCTACGGGAGGGCCACTGCTAACATCTCTGCTCTCATGAGACTGGGACCCTGTTCCGCAGCCTCAGCCGACGGTACTTCCGCCCAGCCGCTAGGGGCCGCTGTTAGTCTGCAGTCGCTCCGCCTGGCGGGCCTAGCAGGCACTGGACCTGGGAACCTTAGTGAGAGCACGGAACCTTGGGACTCGGCTTTCGCAAGCGGCCGGGTAGAGTCCTCCAACGTCCGGGTCCCCTGAGTTTCTTGTTCCCGCGGGGTGCACTGAGCAGGCGCGGGAGCCCGAATTCTTAGAGTTTGGCTTCCGCGCGGCCGAGCCAAGTCGCCACGATCAGGGTTCCCTTAGTTGAGGCACCGGGTGGGCCGCGGCGGCGGTGACGGCGCCATGTATGCCGTGTACAAGCAGGCGCACCCGCCTACCGGCCTGGAGTTCGCGATGTACTGCAACTTCTTCAACAACAGCGAGCGCAACCTCGTGGTAGCCGGGACCTCGCAGCTCTACGTGTACCGCCTGAACCGCGACGCCGAGGTAGGCTGGGTGAGGGACCGCGGAGAGGTTGCGGGCAGCGATGTCGCTAGGTCCCCCGGCTGTCGCAGCCCGGAGTGGTCCCAGGTCTCTTGTCTTTAGGGCCTGCTTTTCGACTCCGTCTCGCCCGGCGCTGGCTCGCTTGCACTCGCGCCTCTTCCTTGCTCTTCTATGTCTTAGGCAGATGATCAGCGTTCACTTGCCGTTTGATACGTGGTAGGGATGCGACGGTGAACTAGACCTGCTTATTCCGGGGAGAACTCCTCCACTATGAAACACACTTGCGGACTGTCAGTGTGCAACGGAGGGAGGGAGGGAAGGAGGCTGAGTGTTTTCAGTCGGAAGATCAGGGGAACTTCTCTGTGCTAGATAGAGCAGGAATTTGTTGAGGAAAAAGCATTCCTCTCAAGGGAGCAAGGCTGGGTGTAGAGGGGGACAGACTACTAACAGGTGGCGTAGTAAAATGGAACCAACCCATCAGTGGGATGGGAGGAAACTTGGGTGCTTTGACTACCGGAGAGAATGGCGTTGGTCTAGGAAGACTTCTTGCGAGAGTCAGCTTGTTAGGTGTTCTTCAGAGAGGAGTAATACTTAGGCTGGTCAGGGATGGGGAAGGGAGGAGAGATGTTCCAAGCAGAGGAAGAAACAACCTGTGCACAGGCCAGAGCACTTGCAGGTGATATGTGCAGTGTGTGGGGTAGTGGGTACCTCTGGTCAGGACTGCACTCTCCAAAGCAGAGGGAAGCCACCAAAAGGGTTTTGAATAGGGGCTGACACCAATAGAGAAGCAAGCTGAAGTAGGCTGCCTGTCCTCAGTACCCATCTAGCACATGTATGTATATGCATGTAATGTGCCTAGTTTTGCAGATACATCCATCCCAAAACAAGCACCAGAAAAGAATGGGATATTTTAGTGAGAGCTTTGTATTTGGATATGTCATTAAAAAGACTTGGCTTAGGGCTGGGGTTTTCGCTCAGTGATACCGCCACCTGCCTTGCAAGCACAAAGTCCTGAATTCGATCCCGAGTACCAAAAAAAAAAAAGACTTGGCTGAAGTTTTGGGGATAGAAGTTAGGAAAAAATGGACATGTAGCACAGTGGTAGAGTGCTTGCCTAGTTTGCCACCTCCTCCATTCCCATCAGAAAAGTTTTGAAGTCAGACCTTGTCTTTATTATCAAGAACTGGATGAGACATTTTTGTTGTTGAT